TCCTTAGTTCCAGGTTGCTTCTCTCCTTGATTAGTTTCCATCCCTTGCTTCTTATCCGCCCTTCAGGGGCTTTGGAGAATATGAGGCGGAATATTCCAAAAGAGTTCTACGAAGGAGGCTTATATTTCTACAGATATACTGGATGGGTTTTTATTGTTCTGGCAAAGTTCAGCCCGGCTGTGCATCTTTTTACTGTCTTTTGATGGATTAGCAACAGATCTTCGTTGGTCTCATGATCGCTTGATGCTTCAAAGCTTCGGAAGGGGCATCCGAAGCTCCCCTTAGAAGAACCAGCTTTTTCTTTATTTTATTATATTTATAAGCTGCCCAATTCTATTACAAGAAATCCTGGTGGACTGGTCTACATGCATCATGGGTGCTCAACTGCTGATTTATACTCTGCCACTAAAGTAACGGTCTCACCCTCAAAGGAAGCTGCTTTCCGTGGTCAGACCGCTGGTCCCACCAGCTCAATATGGCTGGTTCGGACGGGCAAGGTTGAACGAGGACATGTTTTGGGTCCATAGCTCCTCCCCGTAGTATAAACAGTAGTCATGTAGTATAAATAGAGTAGACCAACGAGTCACAGGAGGTCAATAACGAACCATCTGAGGTGTCACCTTTCAACCTGGTATCCTGATCCAAACAAAGGGTAGGGATCAAGTGGGGAGAGTCAGATTACAAGATCCATGGGAGAACATGTCAAGGTGAGAGTGGATAAGCATCCAGACTTCTCTACTGCAGGAGAGGGGGGTATCTACTTTTCTCCAAGTTGTCTTCTGTTGATTTCCCTCTGTCGTATTACCAGCCTGCTTAGCAGCTCATTCTTATGAGACGTGCATCAGAGCCTACTTTTTTTTTTTTAATTTGGGGGAACTTTTCAAGGTGGCCTCGATGAATTGGTGGAAATGGCCCTGCTTGGTGCCCGTCAGCGTCATGATTTCTTCCCCAAATGCTCCTTGAGGTGATGGTGAGCTCAATTCTTTAAGGAGGACATTTTCAAGATGGGGAGCTTTCTTGCGCTCCGGTGGAAACTTCTCATTCCATTTGTTCCCCCCTCCCCCCCCCCAAAAAAACCAGAAACCTTGCCTCAGTCAACTGATATCTTATCCCATGCCAATGAGATTAACCACAATGGGACTTCAGCACAAGGTACCTGAAGAATCATTTCCTCCAATAGGAACCTGTCTGCTGTTTAAGGACTGGAATTCACACTGAGGTTCCTCCTATGCTGGGGCTCCAGTTGCAAAACTGCCCGCTTGATCAGATCGAGTCATAACTTTGCTGGGGCGGCGATGACAGGTTATCCCGTCTTCTACCGAGCTGTGTAATGTTCATATTTTGCTGTGTTTTTATAGAAATGTTAACATACGTTGCAAGTCCACGTACGATATCCCATATGCCGTAGAAATGAATAAATCAAGTTGCCCGGCAGCATTCAGTAGATCAACCAGCCTTAAGAGGTTAAGAAGCTGGAACCACAGGGAATAATTGGACGATCTGTTCCGTAGCTTGATGGCAATTGTAGTGGATTCCTGAAATTGGGAAATCGTATAAATCTCACTAAGTTGATTCAATCGTGTTGTGTTAGGTATGCTACTGTTGGCTGGGATCACTACGTTTCTGTGCCAGGGGAATGCTAGGTGGGTGTGGCTAAAGGCAGAGGATGGGCTTTCAGAGCCAATGGGATGAAGAACTACTAAGCTACGATAGAGGTAGTATGTGTCTATGGTGAGAATAAAACGGTCCTTCAAGTCCAGTTTGATTCCTGTCTCCATGGACATATATCACTCTGAAGATTTGTCCTTTTCCTTCCCAATCTAGCCCACTGCCTTCAGATGTCCTGGGGCTTCCATCGGAGAACAACCCTAGCCTAACTGCATTTGACTTCTTAAGATCCATCAATGTCAACTCAGGTTGCCACCCTGCCAATCAGAACTGGAGGACCCGGGTTCAAACCTCACTCCTCCTTGGGAATTGATTTCTACTCACGCCTGCAGAGTTGCCCAGACGGCAATGATGGCAGGCCAGGCCAGGCCTGGCCCTTGGCATAAATAACAATGGAATGCTTTTTTTTTTTTTTTCCAAACAAAACCACAGAACCCACATTCTCTCCTCTGCCTTCACGCCCCACCAGTCACAACACGCTGCGGGCCCTGGGTTTTGTTAGGTTTGCAAAATTACTTTGGGTCTTCTGAATGGGAGGCTGAATCACCCGGATGGGGTTATTCAAAATTCAGCAGCAGCTGCCAGATGTAATTTCTTGGATAAACATTACCCCTTGCAACTCAACTGATATCATAATAACCACACCGAGGAAAGGTAAGGAGGGTACAGGAATTTGATCTGTTACCCAATGGGGTAATTTGATCTTTAATCTAAGCGTGCTCTGGAGAAGCTGGAAAGATTTTAAGCCCTTTGACGTCTCTCTCTCTCTCTCTCTCTCTCTCTCTCTCTCTCTCTCTCTCTCTCTCCCTGTCTGTGCTTAAAGTTGCCAACTTTCCCCAGGTCTCTGCAGCTGTGCTTTGCAACAGCCCTCAAACTGGCAGAGTGGATCAAGTGTTGGCAACCAAACGAGGCTGGGCTACGGGCTACGTTACCGATGGCACCCCCAGCACGCCAATTTATCTGCCCTGGGTGCAAACCAAGCCCTGCTTTTGTATGAAAAGCCACTGGTTTTGAGTTACACATGACAAAGCTTGCACCGCAGTGGTCTGTAAAAAAAATGCCAAATATCTCCAGCCAGATGTGATTTTTCTCCACCCTAGGCACGTTGTGTGCGTGGCTTGGCCCTTGAAAGAGGGGACTGGGAAGAACAAGAGCTTCCTACATCCACTGCAAAACGTAGCAGGAGAGATGCTGTTCAGACTGGAAGCAAATTCTCAGTTCTGTTTTTTCAGTTTTCCGCACTGGGAAATTTGTCACTAAGCATGACCAAAAAGATGATGGAAGTTTGGAAGCCGACGGTTGCGTCTGTACAAACTCATCATCGTTCTGTTTTGTGTGTGTGTGTGAGGTGTAACAGAGGGATAGAATCAAGATCACGTGAAGTATTAATACCACTTTACAATACCTTAGTAAGGCCACACTTGGAATACTGCATCCAGTTTTGGTCACCACGATGTAAAAAAGATGTTGAGACTCTAGAAAGAGTACAGAGAAGAGCAACAAAGATGATTAGGGGACTGGAGGCTAAAACATATAAGGAACGGTTGCTGGAATTGGGTATGTCCAGTTTAACGAAGAGAAAGACGAGGGGGGACAGGATAGCAGTCTTCCAATATCTCAGGGGCTGCCCCAAAGAAGAGGGAGTCAAGCTGTTCTCCAAAGCGCCCAAAGGCAGGACAAGAAGCAACGGATGGAAACTAATCAAGGAGAGAAGCAACCTAAAACTAAGGAGAAACTTCCTGACAGTTAGAATAATTAGCCAGTGGAACAACCTGCCTTCAGAAGTTGTGAATGCTCCAACACTGGAAGTTTTTAAGAAGAGACTGGACAGCCATTTGTCTGAAATGGTATAGGGTTTCCTGCCTGAGCACGGGGTTGGATTAGATGACCTCCAAGGTCCCTTCCAACTTTATTATTATTATTATTATTATTATTATTTCTTTGAGGGAATTGAGGTGGCCTCTGGGGATGGGGGGGGGGAATAAAATAAAACCTTCAAAGTTACATTCCGAAAAGCGGAATGTAAAACTGTACTGGGCCCTTGTGCAAAAAAAAAAAAAAAAAATGAAGGCAGTTTTTTACTGTGTGTGGAAAAAATTATTCTTTCCTTCCCACCCTTGGCTGGGACAGTAGTAAAAATACAGTCAAATGCTAAAGCATTGGTGCATTTTATGAAGGGAGGGGGTGTGAAGAGTGCCATCGTTTTAGCCGGCTCGAAGGAACTACGAGAGGCTGCAAGTAAAATTGGTCTGCATTGGATTTTTCCGATTCATTAATACCCGCTACAAGAATAACACACCGCAGAGACAAAAAAGTGCCTCGCCTATAAAGTGAAATACAGGTAGTCCTCGACATACAACCGTTCGTTTAGTGGCCGTTCAAAGTTACAACGGCCCTGAAAAAAGTGAGTTATGCACATTTTTCACACTTACAGCCGTTACTGCATCCCCAAGGTCACGTGATCAAAATTCAGTCGCTCGGACACCGACTCGTATTTATGACGGTTTGCAGTGTCCCGGGGTCCCCCCGACAGACTCTCCTGCGTCCCAACAGCTGCATCATGAGAAATTAATCCACTTGAACCCTTTCCAGTCATGAGTCTCCAGGCCAGGAAAAAAATTTGCTTGCTGAACACCAGTGGCTTGTGAATTTTCTAAAAAAACCCAGGAATTGGCAGCCTCCAAGCCTTCAACTTTCAACAGTTGATTGGAAGCTTTTAAAAAGCCTAATTGGGATCAGAGGGATTCACCTCCCAGAAGAAAAATAAATACAGGTTTGTGTGTGAGAGAAACACAAAGTTTCAGGTAAAATGGATTTACTATGTGTTTAACTTTTTTAAAAAAAAACAGAAAAGGGCTCCCTCCCTGCGTAATTTAACAGGCTGAGAAATCTAAACAATCTCCCTTCTAAATCACTATATATCAACTTTGGGGGTGGCCAATTTCCATCCAACAGATTTTTTTTTTCCCCTTTGGAGGTCGCCCTCTTCTGCTAAATTTTGCCCACCAACTGACACCCAACCAGCTGCCAACTTCTTCAGAGGATAGACACGGAGGAAGTTTGGAAAAAGCTGGAAAACTCCCTTTGTGCCGCCCGCCACCGAATACCGCCCTCCCCACGGAAAGCCAGTGGAGAGCAGCGGTAAGGGGAGGGGAAAGGGCTGTGCGCTCCAGCCACTCCTGTCAGAAAGGATTCATGACTCTGGGGAGAGAGAGAGAGAGAGAGAGAGAGAGAGAGAGAGAGAGAGAGAGAGAGAGAGAGAGAGAGAGATTTTAAAAAAAAAGGAAAGGAAAGGAAAAGAGAGGGACACAAAGTAACTTGCAGAGATTTCGCAACCCTGCGGGGAGGGGAGAAATATGTATATGTTTCAAAGCTGGGGAGGGTGGCTGTCCCAGTCAAGGCCAGGCTAGGATAAAAGCACCGGCTCGCTCTCCAGCTGCAAGACGTCAGAATATGCCTGAGTCCAGAGGCAGGCTTGGCCTCCTCGCCAATGTCAAGGCGTTGGGTTTCAGGTAGCCGCTGCCCATCCGATCCGGAGACGACTTGCTATGAGTCCCCCAGTCGCATTGCTTCGGATTCTCTGCCTGCTCGGTGGTGTCCTGGCCCAAAGTCCTTCAAGAGGTGAGCGGCTTCGGAGGATACTGGCTTTCGGATTCGGAGGTTGGATTTTTGGAGATCGGGTTTGGGATTTTGGATCTTCCCAGGGGGGGGGGGGAGTGAGAGAGAAGGATCCCAATTTGAGGACGGCTGGGAAAAGAGCACCTCTCCCCAGAATTATGCAGACAGGTCGCGGAGTAACCTTTCTGAAGGTCCGGCTGCCTGGGGGGATGACGGGAGGCTACAATCCTGGGAAGATTTGAGTTTGGATTTTGAAGAGGAGGTCTTGCGGAGGCCAGAGCTGGCCAGTCTGGCTGGCTGTGAAGGGCAATGGGACTTTAAGAGGCTGGCTAGGTCCAGGAAGGTGGAGGTTTTGCCCTCCTCCTTTGAAAACCGCTTTGCTCTTTCTTAGCGGTGCCCTGATTCAGAGGAGGAACAAATGCAAGCCGCAAAACTGGAGATTTTTTTTTTTATCCACGTAGGGGCAGTTAAGCCGGGCGAGGTCTCTGCCCCGAGGTTGAAATCCCCACGAAGGGCTGGGAAGAGGCAGTAGGGCTCTTTATTCTGTACATTTTTCCTTTGGATGGACCTTGTCTGAAGGTGGCTGGCGAGAGGTTGAGGGAAGGAAGGGAGAAAACTTGGTTTGGAGAAGACCAGGGAGAGCTTTAGTTTGGCTAGGAAAGTGCACCTCTTCCCCAGAATTATGCAGAGAGGTGGCGGAGCAATTTTTCCCCCAGACCTGGCTGTCCGGGGATGATGGGAGGCTACAATCCAAGGCAGCTAAATGGCATCTGACAGCGGAAACTGAGCGGCCCGGAGACTGACTGCAACTGCTTAAATGCAGATGTGGATCCATTCGTCCGTCTGTCCAACCTAGTCTGGGGCCGCTGTTGTTGACGGCTCTTGGAGATTTCAAGCAGAGAAGGAACCTTCTCAGAGTGACAGGAGATCCTATTTGTTTGGAAGTGGCTGGGAAGAACTTCAGTGTGCCTAGCAGTTGCCCTGTCACTGAGCCACATCAGGGACCTAATGAGACTGCTGCACCCATCTAAGCCAGTGTTGTCTGCTCTGGCTAAAATCTCCCTCCAAGGCCTCTCGGCCTTCTTCGTTCTTTGATCAGGGAGCTGCTGGCCGTTGAATTTAGAGCTTCCTGCAGGCAAGGCAGAGACTGTGCTGGAAAATTGGACAATATCCTGCTCGGCTTCCCAAAATCACGGTTGAATAGGTGGTCACTCTGAAGGTGGTACTTTCTGGAGAATTTTCTGACGCAAAGCCCAAAGGTGTGGTCCTCATGCAGCAGAGATCAACTTTGGCCAAATCTGCCTCTTAATCTATATGGCAATGCTTATTTCAATTTTCCAAATAACTTTTGTGCAAAATGAACCCTTCCTTCCTTCCTTCCTTCCTTCCTTCCTCTCTTTCTTTCTTTCTCCCTTTCCTTTCCTTTCCTCTATCCATCTTTGCTTCAGGTGTTGCACCCATAGTGCATTTCTTACACCTCATTTCTCACAGGGTGCTCATCAGTGTTGGCTGGGGAAGACAGGAGATGTCATGAGGGTCAGGAGATAGGTTTCTTTGCAACAAGCTTCTGAGAGAAATTAGAAAAAGTTTCCAGTAAAGAAAAAGAACCACCCATTCTCCTAGCCTTCATTGTTCTTTCAAGCGCCCGCCTCTCTCTCCCAGGCTTCGCAACCATCTTCAGCTCTGTGCGAAGAGCTGTCCCACGCTTGGTTGGTTGATGGAGGGGGTCAAAGTGTTCCTTTTCCTGTTTACCCAGACAGGGAAGGTCCTAAGCCAACAAGACAGGGAACCTTGACTATAGCTGGGGAAGAACTTTGTGAGATAAAGAGCGATTTCGCAGTAGGTGTGTCTGTCAGGAATGGGGTGGATTTTCCTTCAGTGTACCAGCAATAGAATAGATTGCCTAAATTTTACAGTCTCCTCCAACTGCCACATCTGGGCAAGGGGAAAAAGTGTTGAAATTCTTTCTCTGTTCCTTCTTCCAATGTCTTCTATATTACATTTTTCCTTGAGGATGGAGAGGGGAAGGGAAGAGAGAGAGAAATATTTATATCCAGAAGACGTCTGCCGGGTTTTTTCAGTAGACTGTGAGAAGGATGCTTAAAATTAACCTGGTTGTGTGCAGGAAAGCTGATTCCCAGTTTAAGCAACAGGAGTTTTATACAATTACCTCGTAGCTTTTTCTGCTGATACTCGAAACGTTCTGCCACACCTCTTTCCAAGGTATGTGACTCAGCCTTCTTTCTGAAGAAACAAGCATAGTCACCCTGGACATAACTGGGCAGTACCTGGGACAGGAAGAAATTCTTGTTTTATTGAATCAGAGACTAAACTTGGAAAAGCTCCAGAAGTGATTTGTGTAAAATCAAAGGAAAAGAATGGATATCCCTACAGGCTTAAGAGCTCAAAGGCGTGATGCAAACGGCAAGAGAGATGGGAACAGAAGATGAAATAATGCAAAAGGCGGCTCCAAGTTCATGAAATCCATTCGGAACAGATTTCCGATGCAATCTAGCACGTATCCACGCTGAACTAACCAACCCAACATGGCTTCAGAACTGCAGCCCTAGTTTTTAAAGCATTTTGTCCTAGATAAGATGGTCTGCAACATGCTACGGATTAGCGGCATTGGCCCAATCGGTTTCAACATATCCCCCCCAAAATCTAACCTCTGCATTTGCACCAGGTTTTACAAGTAGTCCTTGACTCAGGGCCACAACTCAGCCCCCAAAATTTCTGTTGCTAAGTGAGGCAGTTATGAAGTGAGTTTCACCCCCCATTTTATGACCTTTTCTTGCCACAGTTGCTAAGTGGATCGTTGCAGTTCATAAATGAACCTGGCTTCCCCATTGACTTTGCTTGTCAGAAGGTCACATAAGGGGATCGCGTGACCTGGGGACACTGCGACCGTCATAAATACGAGTCAGTTGCCAAGCGTCTGAATTTTAATCACGTGACCAGGAGATGCTGCAACGGTCATAAGTGAGAAAAACAGTCACAAGTCACATTTTTCAGTGCCGTTGTAACTTCGAACAGTCGCTAAACAAAGTTGAGGGTTACCTTGTATGTGGTTTGCCTTGATCTAAGTTAGCCACCAGATCAACTTTTTGGGTTGATTCAGAGCTCACTGTATTGTGTGAATCCAAAAAACTGGCTCATTCAGCAACCAGGTTTAAGCGCCTTGTGTGAACACAACCATCGTATCGACTTTATGGCTTGCCCAAAAAAGGAAATGCCATCATCGCCCTAATCAACAATGAAAAAGCCACATGCAAACAGGCACCACATAAATACAACACACAAAATAGCCCAAAGCACACATCCTGGTGGGAGAGAAGTTCCCTGAGGATGATGTACTCCAGCGTGAATCCGAAATCTCGGAAGACCAAAGATTGAAAGGCAATTAGTCCATACTTTGTAACTATGTGTACAAGAATGTTCTGGGAGCCACTCTTTCTCTGAGGTCCGTGACGCCAATCCCAGATTTATTTTTGGTTCCACTCCCCCCCGCCCCCGGGGAATTGGCACTTTTGAGAAACTGCAGCAACTGATGTATAAATAAGTTTAAATAAGATGTATAAATAAGTTTTTTCTGAATCCCAGCAGGTTAGAGTGACATGGCGCCCCAGTTCTGGCACCCAGGCAGGATTTCTCCCACTTTCTAAGTGCCCACACGCACTGCGTCACCGCTTGCCTTTGGCCACCCACTTGCAAGGCCTGCCTGATGGAAATGCAAAAGTCTTGCTGACCTAGCAGGATGTTTGCCTTTGGTTCTGTTTTGCTGGGGGGGGGGGGGGGGAAAGAGAGAGAGAGAACAGTTCCAAAAGGTCACATGGGGGGAAGGAAGAAGTCGTGATGTTTTGCAGCTAAAGTCACACCCATCAGTATCTAAAAGGGGAGCACCATCAGTCGGAGGCCCCAAATTATCTTTCTGTTCCACTGTTGAATGATAGACTATATCTAAATATAGCCTGGCGACTGATTCATATTTATGACGGTCACAGTGTCCCGGAGTCACGCCATCCCCTTTTGCCGTCTTCTGACGAGCCAAGTCAATGGGGAAGCTGGATTCACTTAACAACCGTGTTACTGACTTAACAACTGCTGCGATTCCCTTAACAACTGTGGCTAGAAAGGTCGTAAAATGGGGCAAAACTCACTTAAGAAAGGTCTCTCTCACTACCTGCATTTCCATGCAATCTCCGAACCAAAAAGCCGTTCTCTCCTTTGGTGAATTTGTTTAATCTCTCTGTCTCGCAGGCTAAGGGCTCTGGGAATTAGCGTCCCACGCAGCTAGAATCTGCAACACAATCCAGAGTGACCCACATCTGGAAAAAAAGAAACGGGGGGGGGGGGGGAATGGGGATAGGGTTTCTGGAAACCTGAGCAGAACTGCCAATGAAGCCTAGCAGTGGGTTTGCACTGTCCTCTGCGCTCCAAAAATGAAAGCCAACTGGCTTCAGACGCCCTTTGGGGAAGGAAAACTCGCTTCCCATCCTCTTTACGTTACCAGGAATGTGACGGCTTAATTGCTGATCCTGCCATTGTATAACTCAAAAGAGGCCGGAAAACCACAAGCTCCAAAGTTTAACGAATGTGTTTTTCATTCCCACTTTTCCCACAAACATCTCCAGTTTTGGCCAATGTTTAACGGCTTCTGGACAGACCTCTTCCAATTGGGGCAGGAAATTGATCCAGGTAAGGGATTCGCGTCCTTGCCTACGCAAGCCACGTCTCCACTGTAGACTAGAATCTCCTGCTCTGAATGAAAGCACAAGTCACGCGGCCTGCACTCCGCCAGATGTAGCCAACCTCGATGGAGATGAAGCATCCCTCGTCTCCTGGACTTAAATTTAGAGAGGGAGGGAGGGAGAAAAGGAAAGGAAAGGAAAGAAGGAAGGAAAGAAGGAGGGAAAGAAAGAGAGAGAGAGAGGGAGGGAGGGAGGGAGGGAGGAAAGAAGGAAGGAAGAGAAAGGAAAGAAGGGAGGGAGAGAGAGAGAAAG